TTAAGGGTATAGGGTTTAGGGGTTAGGGTTTAGGGCCCCTGTCTAGATGTCAAAAAGAGTACGGCTTACTTTATGGACAGGACCCTAAAGGGGGATCCTGATTTGGAAGTACCCTTGACATGCACGGCGACTTATTGAAGCAGCAGCAAAAGAGGCATTATAGAAGCTTGTATAACATCAGAACAAGGTCTTGGGATTGTTATGGTTATACCCATAGGCCCCTAAGTAGTTCCTTTTTATGGTTTATATTAAGAATCCTATAAGGTAATTCCAAAAAGGAACTACTTAGGGGCCTATGTGTGTAGTTTATGAATGATACGATGCATGAAGTATGAATCGTGGTTCAGACCAAGGGCGGCGAGGAAGTGTGGACTCAACCTGCAGGAGCTACCACCAGGGCCACCCTGCAGGAGGAAGACCCCAGCAGTACTCAAGGTGTAGGGGTTTAGGGGTATAGGGGTTTAAGGGTTTAGGGTTTAGGGGTTTAGGGTTTAGGGGTTTAGGGGTTTCGGGTTTAGGGGTTTAGGGTTTAGGGTTTATAGGGGCTAGGATGATGACCAGTGGCGATGGGGGAGGTTGGCACTCCGCATGGTCTCGCAGTAGTCTTTCGTCGCGGCATGACGGATGGGATTGGCAAGACAAGTACTACCTATAGTCTCCATCGTAGTTCCTTTTTGGGGTTACCTTTTAGGATCCTTAACATAGAATTGGTTAAACCTAAAAAAACAACTACGATGGAGACTATAGGTACAACAAGAAGGACAGGGGAGGCTTCCAGGAACCATTGGTGGAGATCCAGCCCTCATACTTGTGCAAGGGCGGTACAGCGGGCTCACCACACACGGCCGTACAGGTCGAGAGTAGCACGAGAACTTCACAACGGGACGAGCACAGTCCACGACAGAGACTGCATGGGCGAGGATGACGAGGGCCAGTCCGACGGGGACCCCAAGCTACCTCATGGAGGAGGGTTTAGGGTTCAGGGTTTAAGCATCCTGCACCGTTAGGGTTTGTGTCGAGGAGGGGGACAAGCCAAGTGGAAACTCCGCACGAGCAAAATCTCGAAGCATCTGAGGGTTTCCCACCGGTTTAAGGAAGGTGCACGGGAAGCTCCAAGATTGTTTACGAGTGTTCCGGTGGATACTTTTTGATACTTCGAGGGGTAGGCGTAATTCGGGCTTTGCTACCGCAGCGGCTCACAATATGCACAAGACCCTAAACCCTAAACCCTTAAACCCTAAACCCTTACCCTGCATATCTTGAAGCAGCTCACTTCCTCCTGAAAAACCCAGAAAACGCACGCCGCATCTGCACTCCCAGACCTTCCAAAATCCTTGAATTATAAGGAATAGATACCCTGCAATTATAGTAGGATCCCTAATATGAACTAGCATGAACCAACTTACATTCTTCTCCTTAGAAAAGGGATTTCTAACCCTAAACCCTAAACCCTAAACCTTAAACCCTAAACCTTAAACCTTAAACCCTGGGCTCTCAACATATCCCTTTTATGGGCCAGTGTAACCAAATAGTATACATTGCGCCCCGGGAACCCAGACCTTCCAAGAGTATCGTGAGTATACCCTATAGAACATTATAGTATGTAGGGATCCTACTATAGTTTAAGATAGGTTCCGTAGTTGAAGGATATTTTTGGAGGTCTGGGTAGTAAGGGACTACGTAGCGGGCCAAAGTATCTACTATATGAGCACATGGACCCTTAGCGGCCACCCTCATCGGACTATTTTCGGCGATTTCCGGTAGAGAAAGAGGCTTGAAGCGAGAACTGCACGACCTCTTGAGACCACATACTCAGATCTGCTCTGGTGCTTTCAGCACCAGCAGCCTGGGAGAACAAAACAACTCCACTATACCCTGGAGCTGCATGCCCGTCGGCATGACCTGGTGAGACAAGGGGTGTTGCAGCGTTGACCGTGCTGCGAAATGACCCCCCTTTTGTGTGTCATGGCATATTACGGTACTGACCTGGTATGTGATAAGAAGGTCAGAATGATCCCACATGGCGAACTGCTGTTCATCCGACCCGAGACATCGGGAGCCCGATTCTGTGTCGTTCGTTGTGCATCTTCGTCAGCCTGCAGCTCGTTCCATCACACTGCAATGGCGATCGAACAGCTCGGCTGATGCTTTAGAACCGAACAGCTGACAGGGCCGCACCTATGCCAAAGACAGGCCTGGTGCAGGCAAGGACCGCACTGTACAACTCTCAACGAAGCGACGCGAGCCGTCTGCGCACGATCGCTGTCGCGGGAAACACAACTAGGTTCCTGAGTGACCCCTTAATCATAAGGGTACCCGTTTTCCTGTTATTCAGTTTTATAAATAAGGGACCCTAAACCCTAAACCCTAAACCATACAATAACATCAGGAACCTAGACAAGAAAACCGGATGGTGTCACAGCTGAGGATGTGGGGGGCCGGAGGGCTTCTTGAGGTTTGGGCTTTCCGTGAGGAGTTGGTAAAGACAATGATTCGAAAGGCACTCACACTCAGACACCAGCTGACGGCAAAGAAAGCTATGCATGGTTGGGTTTTCATAGGAAACCTTGCGAGCATCTCTGCCTCAAAACATGCTATTATGCTGCTGCTGCGAACATGGAAACTGCTTCAAAAAATATGTGACTCGAGCATGTTGAGCATTTTCTGCTCAATGGACCGTTGCTAAGAGAATGTTAGGGACGCACTCTACATGCTACTGCGGTGCACGTCTGCCCTTACCTTTCAGGGCTCACTTGGGTCTTGAGGCGGGAAGAGCTTCCTGAGCATGGCGGCGCGCCTTTCCTCGGTGGAGTTTGCGGTGCGCCGTCCCTGCTCTACGCAGCCCAGACAGGGCCTGTAATAAGTAGAAAAGGGTTCTGGAGAATTTTACCATCTAGCCAGAAGCCAACCCTAAACCCTAAACCCTATAAACCCGTAAACCCTAAACCCTAAACCCCTAAACCCTAAAACCTAAAAGCCTAAACCCCAATACCTTGTTCTAATCAAGCGGCTGCAGCCAGGTCTGCCAGACCTCCTTCACACAAGTCATGGGGAGCGGGTGGTATCCCTGGCGCTGCCAACGGGGTTTCGCCCGTCTGTGGCGGCACCGAAGTCGAGGAGCTTGGCTGGTTGATCTCCTAGGTCCCCTGTGTCCCCTTAAGAACAAGGTAGCCTACTTCCTGTTGCCAAGCCTCAATACTGAACCCTAACCCTAGGGCTCCAGCTACCTAAATAGTAGGTTACTGGGGTACATAATATATGGTTAGTAACCCACTTTGTTAAGTAACTGGAGCCCTAGGGTAAAGCAGAAACAAAACAGTTCTGGGAAGACCTAGCTTCATCTGAGTTTGTGCGCTTATCTTCCTCAGTAAAACCTGGAAGCTCTTCGGGCACGTCCTCGTCAGCACTCAGAAACAAGATGATCTCGGGCTTTTCCTCGAAGTGCACCCTGAATTCGTGCGAATCCGACAGAACCTGTGACAGCATGCTGATGGATGGCGATGGGCTCGTCGCAGACTCTGGAACGTCCACCAGAACGACTGGGCTGGATTTGGAACTCGTTCCGCACTGCTGTGGAGAGGCCGAGGAGGTAGCACGAATCATGTTCCGACGCGGCGCCTTGGAAGCAAAACCACTCAATCCCTACCCATAGGCCCCTAAGTAGTTCCTTTTTGGGATTACCTTATAGGATTCTATATATAAACCACAAAAAGGAACTACTTTGGGGCCTATGGGTAAACCCTAAACCTTAAACTCCAGACCTGGTGCAGACGAGGTGCCTTGGAAGAGGGCGGTGGCGTCATAGGCTTTTGTGGCACAAAAGAAGCCATCCCGTCCGGGGGGAAAAAGGCTGAAAGGTTTAGGGTATAGGGTTTAGGGTCTAGGGTTTAGGGTTTAGGATGCAGACGAGTTTGCATTGGGGCTTACTCTCCGAAACTCTCAGCTTGGCATAGCCCTATCCTGAACCCCAGTACCTAACTGCTGGGTCCCTGCACCCTTCAAACCCCCAGTAAATTTCATCTACAGAAAAACACGAGTAAAAAACAACAAAGCAGCAGCCCCTATACTAGTTTCGGGATACATGGGCGCTTAGGCTTATGCCTTAAGGGTACTTGCACAGACTGTGCCTGGCGAAGCCTTGGGCCCTTGAAGCATCGGACGCCACAGATGCTCCCGGGGTCTTTGCACTTATCATTGTTCTAGGGTCTCCATGACATTTAGGGCTTTGAGGCTTAAGTTTTCGGGTTCGGGGTTTAAGGTTCCAATACCCTAAACCCTAAACTAAACCCTAAACCCTAAACCCTAAACCCTTTAAATAGAAAGTATCCCTTGAAGTTATCAGGAAGAGCCCCCTCTCGGCGAAGGTCTGATCCTCTTTTGGGATAACTTCGACCATAGGGTTTATAGGGTTTAGGGATTTAGGGTTTTAGGGTTCTAGGGCTTTAGGGCTCTAGGGCTTTAGGGCTCTAGGGCTTGAGGGTTTAGGGTTTTAGGGTTTAGGGGTTTAGGGTTTTAGGGTTTAGAGCTCGAGCGTTCTAGGGCTTTAGGGCTCTAG